TCACAGGAATTATTGGAATCACAGTAACAGAAGAGGTCTGAGGACTAAATCAGATCAAGCAAAACTGATTATCCTCAAAGGAGTAACTGGAAAACCCAGAGAAAGTGGGAGAAAATAAAGCTCCAGAGAATGTGAATTAGGAGAACTTCATGCTCACAACCCTAAGGGATCTGAAACCGAGTCGCAATGAGAAATGACTGCTGATTGCAGTGACTTCAGCAAAAGTAACTCGGAACAGTCTGGGTTTTCTGTTTACATTCCTCCCCTCCCGAAGATGTGGGTTCACTGAGGTCAGGGGCCATATCCTCCACTCGGTCTCTCCCTCCCACTGACGGTTTCGTTTACTCTCCACAGAGAGCCAAACCGCCCCTTTTAAAATGAATCAGGTCATGTCTTTCCCCTGCTCAAAAACCAAAAACTTAAGTAAAACCCAGTGCCCTTACAATCATCTACAGTGACCCACATGGTTTGGCCTTTGGCTTACTCTCTGCCCTCACCCGTCTCCTGCCCTCTCCCACCTCTGGCCTGGCTACAGTGGCCTTCCCAATGTCCCGGAGCTGCTCAAGGCCTTCGGCCTTTCTGTTCCTTCAGACTGGAGGGTTCCGCCCCATACAACCATGGTTTGTTCCTGCTCTTTATTCAGAGTTCTCTTCAAGTGTCACCTCATCAAGGATGGCATCCTCACCCAAACTAGTTCCCATCTACCACCCCAACACCTCTCATTCTATGTCTCCTTACGCATCTCTATTTTTCTTTGAAATGTTTATCAATTCCTGGTGTGCAGATGTGTACTCTCTCTACACACAGACACATACACACACGTATGTGTGCATGTCTATGTGTGTGTGTATAATTTCTGTTAATGAGGGACACTTTAGTAAGCCGGGGTAAGTGAGGTAGGGAAACAGATAAGCGGCCAAGCAGTTTACAGCCATCTAATAAATCATAAAATTCTATCTTCCTTAACCAAGGACACTTAAGAGTAAATAAGTAAATGGTTTACACTTCTTCCCAACCAGAGAGTAAATTGCTTAAAGCACCGTACTCAAGACAAAGAGCAGAAATCCAACCCAGATCCAACCACACCCAAAGACAGATGAAGTTGAGGGAGTAAATTTCATTTTAGTGCATTAGCATAAAGTTGATGAATATTCTATTGAGATGTTCCCCTAAGATCTCCCCTAAACTCCTAGCCTTTAAAACTCTCAAGATGAAGGGCCCAGGCAGCACTCTCCCTCTCCGGAGCCTGTTCTGGTCTTCCCTTCTTCTTCCCCCAGTGCCTTCTCTTCAGAGCACGCCTACATCTTTTCCTTCCCCTCCCCTCCTTCCCTGCAGGAGGGTTACCTTTGCTTTTCTCTTTCATAAGCTCCAATGGCCCTCCTCTTGCCTCTGTAACTTGTTTCCTGAGCCTACACAGCCCAGCTGACTCACTCTTATTACCTCTGTAGCTTTGTAAATAAACTTTCTCTTATAATTTGAGTTCTTGTCTCTGAATTCTTTCTTTGCTGAACTCAAAAACCAAGGTCCAACTTTACCAGTTAACAACCGGTGCCATTTCGCTTCCTACATTGCTGGTAACAAAGCAGGGACTTTTTCTGTTTTGTTCACTTTTTTATCATAAATTCTCTCAAGATTTTTAAGCAGGCAGACAGAGGAATGGACTTTAACCTTGGCTCTGCTACCAACCTGGAATCCAGTACTTATGGACTATGCCAACATCTTCCCACCAAGCCCTGTCATCACCAGAACCTCATTTCTGAGACATTGCTGGTCAAGTTTCTCTAAGAGAATTAAGAAGAATTAAGACAATAATTAAGTTAGAGGAAAAGAGCTGAAGTTACGACCAATGCAAGGCAATCTCTGGCTAAGGAGTGAAATATCTGGCTATTTGGCCCCACACAGAGACTTTGGTTGCCAGTTACATGCACAGGCACATTTAGCTAGTGTTTACTTAATTTATAAGCTCACAAGACATTTCTCTTCAGGGATGTCTTGTCTAAAAGGATTATGGCAAATCAAGAGTATGAAATACTAAATCTGTTTATCAACACTTGTTTTTACAGTTTCAAATATGATTTGCTGATGCTAAGCTCTAAGACGGGGTAGCCTGCATTACTGTTTTCAGAGAGTCTGAAGCCACACCCGAAGAGGCACATGGTTCCTGATTCCAAAGGTGTCCTTTCAAACATCCTGCTTTGCTTTAATAATAATAGCTATGCCTTTTAAATGGTGTGGGTCACCATTTCTTTCTAAGGCCTGAAGGACAATGGGGTCCTATATTCTTGGAATATTCATATATCTGATAAGATAGAGATGAATTTTCCTTTGTGAAGCAAGAGAAGGAAAGAAAAAGTAGAGAGAATCAACATTTATTAATACACACACAATAGATGAGCTGGAGAAAAACTTTGAGAATCCTAAAATTATAGAAAGAAAGAAAGCCAAGAGTATAGAAGGCATCACCTTGGAAAAGAGGGCAAAGAGAGAAGAGGGCCAGGAAGCTAGCTGTGATGCCCTTTGAAGCTATGGTTAGAAATAGACCATGAACTTGACAAGGAGATTAAGAAGGAGTCAGAGACACAGAAGAAAAACTGGGAGAGGGTGACATTCCAGAAAGAAAGCCAAGAAAAGAGAGTGTTATAAAGGAGAACAAGAAGTGACTACTGGTGCCACATACTGCTGAGAGCTCAAGGGACCGGATCACGTCCCAAGGACTCATCAGGGGTTGCTGAGGACCTTAACAAAAATGTTTCAGTGGTCGATAGTAACAGAATTCAAACTTGGGAGTGGACCAGGGGGAGTATGAAGTGAGGAAATAGTGACCAAGAGTATAGGCAATGCTTTGGTGAAACTTCCCTCCAAAGAGGAGAAATACAAGGAGGCTGTTGTAAAGGGATAGGAAGTCAGTCAGCAAGTGGAAAGACTTGGGATTTCAATCCAGTTCTGACTCCAAGGCTGAATTCTATCAACAGCTGCTATGATGCTGTTTCTCTGAGTTTACATGCTAATCCATAAAGCCTTCTTTCCTATTTTCAGTAAAAACCACTGACAGGAGGTTCACCTATAGAAGAGAGTTCTGAGAATTTTGAGCATTTCCTTGCAATGTCTAATTATCCCTTAGGTTTGTGTCCAGCTTTAAGATTTTCAGAGACTGGCATTTTCATGACTTACTTTCATCCATATAATACCTGTGAAATGAGTTAGGCAGGGCAGTGTTATACTTTATTAGTAAAGAAACTGTGTCGCCCACGCATTTATGGCAGAACTGACACAAGAATCCCAGATCTCTAATTTTTAGTCCAGTGTTCTTGCCACTCCACCACCATTTCCATCTGCCACTTAACTCTAGGACAACCATGGCCAAAATTTCCTCTTCTTTTATAGTTATTAGTAATAGTAGCAGAAGTAGTAGTAGTTGTTGTTGTTGTAGTACAGTTTACAAAGCCTTGCCAAATACATTATCTCACTAAACACAAAGTGAATTCTCAGTTACCCAAGGTCAGTTCTCTCATAACTACACTCCCATGTTCTGAGGAGGATGCTGAGGTTCACACAACAATGCCTGTTGCAGCCGGGTATGAATCTAGATCTCTAAGCGCCAAATCCAGTTTTCTTGTCTTTGCATTAGTGGTTGATAAGTGCTGAGGCCCTTCAGGAACCTGATGAGAGTTATGACCACTCTTCACAGAAATATATGCATGAGTATGTCAAGAAGGTCTGGTGCAAGGTGTTCACATTGCTGCTAGGGTGCCTTTGCTTCTGGGCCAGCTCAGCAGGGAGAGCTAGGATATAAATGTATGTATGCTCACACATGGACATATACATCTGGATTTATTTTATTTATATCCTGAAACATATGTATATGTGTGTATATGTATATGTACACACAATCACAAGTTGATTCTAATACCTCTGATTTCCACCTAGTACCATTAGTGCTCATTCTAACTCCCCTTTCCTTATTTGTGAGAAACCTGTTGCTCATTAACAACAATATATTAATTAATTTGCTCAATGTAGTATACACATAAAGGATTTTCAGAATACCTAATATGTAGAACAAATTTGGTATTTGCAGTATAATATTTATGTACAGTTACTTTATATGTAGCTATGTAGCCTACTATCAAAACATTCTTTACTAAATTTACTTAGATTAGTTCTTTTCTTTCCCAACTCCCCTTTAATGTGGTTATGGTACTCGTTACTAATACAGGAGGTTATTTTCTGCTATTTGTGTTTCATTTTACCCATGCTCACCACACACAATATTCTAGCGTCTATCTATCTATCTATCTATATCTTCTATCTATTTATTTTCCAGGATACATGAAGCATCACTGTAGGTCTAATAGTTACAGTTGAATTAAAAGTTATACTTAGAGAAGTGTTGTTTCCTCCTACTATCCTCTTCTTTTCCCCCCATTCTTTGCATTTCATTTCTACCCACCCAGCATAGGTAACCAATCTCAGTGTCTGGTTTAACCTTCCCGTATTTCTTTTGCAAAAATGAGTAAATACACATATATTTTCCTATATTGCCTTCTTTTTACATGAAAGGGAGCACACTGTCAGCACTTCTTTGCACTCCACTTTCTTCACTTAACCATATATCCTAGAAATCACTCCGTATCAGCTATTATTCTCAGTTTTACAGATGAAGAGACAGCATTAAAGAGGTTGAATAACTTGCCCAAGGTCACACACCTAGTAAGGAGCAAAGCTGCATTTGACTCCAAAATCCAGGTTCCTTCTACTACATCAGAGTTTCTCATTCACAGGTCCTGGCATATTGAGGGGGGCGGATCTTTAGTTGTTTTTTTTTAATTCTCTTAGGTCATTTAAAAAAATCTGTTCTTGTATGTTCTAGATCATCTGGCCTTAGAAACAGATATTACCAGGCATTTTCATTGCCTATAGGATCTGAAAGTCACACATCAGCCTAAAGTAAGTGCCCTCAACACAGGCAGGCATGGAAAGTGGAAACAGGAAGCAGTTACCTGGCAGTGGCCTTGGCTTGCAGTTCGGGGAAGGCCACATGGCCTTGCACCATGTGGTCTATCTGAAAAACAAGAGAGATGGGTCAACCTTACAGTCTCCCCAGTCTATTATTAATCCAGAAAAGATAAATGAAAATGTCTGTTTCTTTCAACTCTTTGTCCATACAGGATCTAACAATGTTAAAATGCTAACTCAGTGAGATGTGTTTCAGCTCTTACGGAAATCTAGCTTTGCTCAACCTACTGTTGGCCTCTTAGATTCACAAAACAAAGAGGTTTAAAGAGAAGAGTAGCAGGAAATGAAACTCTCAAGGCTAAACTAGTAGCAGCAGGTAGTATCAGGTCCAAGAATGAGGTGTGAGGAAGGAGGGTGAGAAGGAGAGGAGACGTAACTCGAGGTAAATGGCAGAGACCTGGGTGTAACAGCACTAACCTCTGGCTCACACCATTTCTGCCTCCTGATCCAGGCTGTTACCCTAGGACAATGTCAGCCCTGGAATTACCCACTGCATATTTCCAATGGAGAAGTTGAGTGAAAGAGACTATGAGAAGGAAGTCTCCGTTTCAAAAAAGGGGAGAAAAAGAAGAGTTGTCCCAGAATTGTCAAGAGAACCGCCCCTGATTGAAAAGTTGTATCACATGGGAAACTGAAGATAGCTCTCCAAGGACAAAAATGCCTGAGCGCTGTGGACAGCTATCTTCTTCTTACTTGAAATCCCATGTCTTGGATTTTATTCCTTAATCCACTTGGCAGCTTTAAAGAAAATAATATGTAATATGCATCAGGAAGAGAAATGCTTTCCCATGCTCTTACTCTGCTTGCCAGAACACACCCAGTACTGTGTTTGGGTTCCTTAACTTAATCTGTGTATTTTCTCAATGTTTACATGAGTCTCTAGGACTCCAAAACAACTATTCTGACAGATTTATTTTCATTCAAACTATGAACCAACTGGCTATTTTGGCCTCATGGAGATAGTCTCTCTGAGCATAGCACTTTTTTTCTTTCTTTTCTTTTTTTTTAAAGAAGATTTTATTTATTTATTTTTAGAGAGAGGAGAAGGGAGGGAGAGAGGGAGAGAGACAACATTGTGTAGTTGCCTCTTGCACGCCCCCTACTGGGGACCTGACTTGCAACCCAGGCACGTGCCCTGACTGGGAATTGAACTGGCAATCTAAGCATGTTTCTTGAGAACCAGGGCTGTGTCAGAAGGAAGAGAATTTGTTCTGGAGCCACACTAGCTGGGTTTGCCATCTGGCTCTGATACTGACTAGCTGTGTGACTTTGTGCAAGTCACTTAGCTTACTTGGGCCTCAATAACCCCCTTTCTCTTTCCCCAGACCCCTTTAAAAACAGGATTGCTGGAACTTAGAGAGTGTCTAGCATAATGCTGACAATAGTATAATTACTATTACCTAAAATTTATTGACTCATTTGCCATGCATTAACACTAAGCTAAGCATTTTTCCATACATTATCTCATTTATTCCCACAACATCTGCATGGAAAAGACACTACTACTGTTTACCATGGCGATGAGAACAATGGGAGTAAGAGAAATAAAGTCACAGGGTCACAGGGGAATAAGTGACAGAGCTTTTTGTTTTTAACTAAGGTCTTTCTGTATCTAAAGTCCTTGTTCTTAACTACTATGCCACATTGTCTATTAAACTTCCAGGTACAATATACTTTGCTGAATTCTATTTGTACAGTTCTGCAGAATGTTCCAAAATTATATTAAGGTAATTGGTCATTACAAGGGGAAAAAATACAAATTTTGAATGCTTATTTCCTATAGGTTCAGCTATGGGTTACCACAATGAGGCATACTCTGGACCTTAAAGAGTTTGCATCAGTAAGGCATTACTTGATTTGATCATAATTTCGATGGGAAGTACTTGAAGAGGTCAGAGAAGGGAGATTTAAATGAGCTCCCAGGAGGAAGCACAGAACCTAGCATGTGTGGTGCATACATAAATACAGTTAGTTTATTCAATACTTACTGAATGCCTAACGCATCAGGTGCCGTGCCTACCCTCCAGGGATACAGTGAAAAATAAGAAATGCAATACATACAATATATAGTAGCATAAAGTAAAAGATCAATAATTCAGCAATTACAATATAGTTGGGGGAGGTGAGGCTTCAGCCGAGAGGCCAAGAATAGGCAGTTTAGAGGAGAAAAGAGTTGAAGGCAAGGCATGCCAGAAAGGAGATGGTGATGATTAAAGATATGAAGATGGAGAGACACACATGGTCATAGACAATAAGGAGACAAGTCAAGCCCTGTGTCTGGAGTATTACAGATGCTCAATGAACATTTGTTGACTAAATGCGGGGTGCACGAACCATAGGGAGGCACACCACAGGCTCCCAATACCATGTACTTTTTACCACACAGTGCATTTGTGTCTATTTGTGCAAGGCACAATTTGGTCACGTCTAACTCTATGTTAAATTGGAGAATAAATAAGTGTTGGAAATAGTGAATGAATGAGGAGCGTAGGGACAGACAGTAGGCCTTACATGTCAGGTAAGAGCCTCACTGTTTATAGTTTTATTGAATTATAGGCCTTAGGAAATTATTTTGATTTGGGGAGCAAAGTGTTAAAAAGTTAAGGAAAATAAGTCCGGTAGGGTATAGAGGACAGGGAGATGAACAGGTACAGAGAGCAGGAAATAAAGACATGCTCAGAGGTTGACACTGGGAACACAAGGACAAGCATTCCCTGGCCTTGTTCTGTTTTGGCATTTGTCAAGTTCTTTTACAACCGTTCGTTTATATGTCAGTCTTTCATCCTACACTCTGAGTGATTTTAAATCAAGAGCTTCATTATTTCCCAGCCCCCTAGTACCTATAACAATGCCTGACATCTTGAATAAATGAACAAGATATATTTTGAAGAAAATAAAACAAATTTAGTGATAAACCAGTTATAGAATATAAGGAAATCTGAGTCAAGGATGATTTTGAACTTTTGGGTCTAAGAAAAAGAAATATGGCCATATTCATCATGTATCTGATTGTTTTTATTTTTTTTTATTTTTATCTTTTTATTTTTTCTGGTTCAGATGCTCTGATATCTGGGGTCTTACTGATGCTGGAGTGACTGCCTCTCCCAAGGCTAGTCAATTCCTAGAGAAAGCAAAGGACTCGACTCGCCTGCGAGCACACCTTTTACCACACCAACTGATCCACAGCCCACCGCCCCACCCCTCCTCTATGGGCCACCATCCTCTGCTCTAATCAGCCCAGGGCCATCCCTGGTGCTCCCAGTGGTGCTGGTGGCGTGGCAGTGCTCCCTGCTCTTGAGAACTGTAATAAACTATCCTTTCAGTGGCAACATCTGATCTGCTGACCTCATCATACCTGAATAATAATGAAATCTACATTTCAAAACAGTGGTTTAGTGGAAAGAACAAACACTTTGGAAACAGAGAGGCTTAGGTTCAAATTCATGGTCTACATGAATATTTGTGCTATGGAAGAAAAGTTACTTGACCTCTCAGCGCTTCATCTCCTCTCACTGTAAAATAGGAATAATAAAATCTGCTTTTCAGGGAAGGATGTGATGAGTGTCTGGTATATTTCAGTTCCTAACATTTACTGTTAAAAAGAAGGGGGAGTACACCAAAAGAATAAAAATAGTTCTGGGAGAACAGTATCTCAAATGGTCAGCTGCATATTTTTGTTTTTCATTATTTCTGGTGGTAAAGGCCCACCCTGAGTAGCGAAGAACAAGCCAGTTTGTCAAATAACCCAGAACTCATTTCAAAAGCCTAGAGTTCTTATGTTTGATTCTTTAATGCATTTAGCACAATATAGAAGAACATAGTATCCTATTAGTGGTTACTTGTTTTCCAATGAAATAACCAGTTTAACCACAATGGCTGTATTTGCCAAGTGGTTGCCTTAGAAATATATAGACAGAGCTAGTCTAACTGATTATTTTCTTGCTTCTCAGATTTCAGTTCTGAGAGCAGGCAGTTTTAAGAGCGGGCAGAAAAGCCTACACATTAGTTGGGTAGGTAGGAAGCGTGAGCCAGAAGGAGTCAGATCTTCAGGATTGCTTGCAAGTCTAGGTCAAGAGAGAAAGGCCACCTTCCAGTATGTAACGTGGGCTGGATTTTTGGCCCTTCCTTATAAAGCTGTCATGTGCCTTTGGGACATGGGAGGAACAGAAATGCAAGACAGTATAACACAGTGATCAAACATGGGCAGTAGGAGGTGGCATCTGGCCCACAGATGTATTTTACTTGGGAAATATAATGTTTTGAAAAAATGAGCCAGGATTTTAAAATTTGGAGATTTCACTTAAAATCCAGATTTTGGTTTCTTTTGAAGATACCAGGCCACCCATATTCCCCTACGGCAAGGGTCAGCTTGAGCTGAGTGGTGACTGATCCCATCAGACAGGTCTGCGCTCTCAGTTTGTAGGAGGCACCGCGACGCCCTATCACTGCCTCACAACAGACACCAGATTTCATCAGTTATCGTCATGAGTGTACTACTGTTTTACTTATCAGGGAGATCTATTTATGCTCATCTCTCTGTCAAAGGAGGGATCATGGGATTCAAGCCCCAGCGTACTATGAGTTAAAAGAAAAAATTCTCAGTGGAAGTGAAAAAAAATTAATTTGCCTAGTCTGTTTACTCATTTGTACTGTCTGACTGCTTTAGGCATTTGAGGTTTGACTCTTGTAGAGAAAGCACAGATGAGAAATCCTCAGACCTTAGTTCAGTTCTGACTCAGGGCATGATCGTGGACAAGAACATGTCTAATTTTCTCCCTTACACATTTAATAAATTAATGCGACAAATAAACAACTGCTTGGAAAATTACACAGAGAACTACACTGCCTGAGATATCAACACTGTTGGCAAGGAAAACACATAACAAAGGCAAACTTCGAGTTTAAGAATTTTAGGTTCTATGAACATTTGCTAAGACAAAGCCATCTTACCGCATGATGGATTTTTCTGTATTAAAATCAGTTTTATGTATTAGTCTTGAGGCCGTATTTTATCTTGCTTGCAGATAAAGAAATCATTAGGCTCAG